TAACAAATAAATATATCAGAACTATCGTTTACAAATAGCATTTTACAAGATGAAAATCATAGTACGAGGACCACAGTGGTGCCCACAGTTGTACTCACAGCAACACTCTTTGCCTGCCATCTTTAACTCCCAAAGGGCTTTAGGTCTAGCTTTGTTTGTGGCCTTTGACAAGACACTTCGTGTATCTGGGGGTGAACTTCCTCCTTCATAAAGTGAACCCCCTGAGACACTTTCCAGCTTTGATTCTGGAGCCTCTCCCCATCCCCCCCCCCAAACGTACAGAATAATTAGGGGCTTCCATCCAGTTTAACTTGTTCTCTAATTAGGGGCTTCCATCCAGTTTAACTTGTTCTCTGAACACAAGAGGGCAGCCAAGCCACAGGCCCGTGAGCCAACAGGCTGGCTTCTCTGTTATTTCACAGATACAGTGACTGGAGCCCCATGCAAGTGTTAGTTCCAGGAGAAGCAGTGTGTGCTTTTGTTTAGTGTGTGTTGGTGGAAATGATGTCACATTCAGCCAGATGAGAATTTAAACTTCATAAGTGTGTACCTAGTAAATTCATTGAGCAAATATAAATAATATATAATATAAAGCATCATTCTGGGTCCTGAACATACTTCTTTTTTGTGTGTGTTTATAGTGTTTAGCCATTGCTAATAAGGTTTAAAATACTTAGAACAATAAAAGAAGTAGAAATCTTCTTATAAAACCCTTTTTGAAAGACATTTTTAAAAATCAAAATTGGAAGGGTGCATTTTGTTTTGTTAACATTTTTAAGCCAGGTGTGTGTGTGTGTGTGTGTGTGTGTGTGCACGCAGACATGTGTACATGCATGAATTGAACTAGTAGCTGAATGACTTAAGTCAGGAATCCTTGTTTTATTTCTTTTTAGCTGGCTAGTCAATACTTTATATGCCATTTAACTCACTTTCTAAATCTTAAAGGAGAGTCAGTAATTTACTAGCATGATAGAGTGGTTGGAAGTTACAGCCACCCTGTGATATCTACTTTTCATGCCTTGTTATTTCTAGAAACATGCATTTTGTATTTATAACAACTGAAAATTGTACATTTCCTGTGTTTGAGGAGATATCCTTTTTAAAAAATGAAGATAATAATTCTTCCTTGTAAGTCCCTCACATGTAGCTATCTATCTGTGATATACGGAAGATATCATACCATACCAGAGGTACGAATAACAAAATTTCACATACTTTCAGTCTCTTTAAATTTCATGTGAGCCAGCTTCGCCAGTCAGACATTTCAGGGACAGAAAAGCCACTGGGTGCATCTTCAGCCTCTGGCTAGGAATCCCATCCCAAGGACCTTCCAATGCTTCCAGCATCGGAGAACTTATCACGTCTCAAGGCCACCTATTTCTCGCAAAGTTTTCATTTTTAGATAGGTTTTTTTCACATTAAGCCAAAATCTGCCTTGCTGTGGCTTTTGCCCTACTTGTATCATTTGTAGCTACTCAAAATAACCCTAAATCCTTGTCCAGTTGTTCGGAGGCAGCTGTCATGTGCCCCTTTCCCTCTGGCCATCCAAGACTGGATGGCTTAGTGACTTCACATTCTGTGTGTGAATTCCAGATCCCCACGTCAATGTTAGGTATTTGTTCTTAGCACATACTAAATTAGGAGGTTCTGAGTATGGTCTATGTTCTGTTATGAAAGCCCCCAAAACTTGTTTGGACATTATATTGCAGTAGTGGCTCTTCTTGTTTATGTGAATTTGCATTTAAAACTTTGCTGTACACAGGACAGATCCTCCAAACAGAAAATCAACCAAGAAGTAATGGACTTAAACAAATTACAAACAAGCCTGACCGACATCTACAGATTCTACCCAAAACCACTGAATAATTCTTCCATCACTCACTGCATTCTCCAAGATGGACCATATCCAGGACACAAAGCAGCTCAAACAATAAAAAAAAAAGAAATAACCAATTCTTCAGACCCATGAAAAATGTATAACAATCGAATCCAACAGGATCCTCATTCACACAAATCAGTGGAAACTAAACAAACTTCTCTGAATATCACTTTATAAAGCAGGAATCAAATGAAATCAAAAGATCTTGAACAAACCAACAAAGTAACAATGCCAAAACTGGACACATCTAAACAGTCTGAGATAGGAAAGTTTATCCATAAACCTAACCAAAAGTTGAAAAGACACAAAAGACACAATGAACGTTCAAGACTGGAAAAGAAGAACAGACCAACCAAACCACAAAACAACATTAAATAATCAAACTAAACAAAATACAACAGAACTATATGATATAATAAAACGCAATTGTCCTTAAAAAAACAAAAGAACACCCATTGCAGACTGAAAAATGAAAGAAAAATCTCAAAGCTCCATCACCAAATAAGGAAATCCAACTGATCCACAGAGAACAGATATAATTATAATCTACAAAAACCCCTATTCACACAACTGAAAGAGGAAATGGACAATTCTAAAACGCACACCTCACCTAAACTCACCAGAAGAAATAGAACCTGAAACAGACCAACCATACAGTAGAAATAACAGCAAAAAACCCTTCTAAAAAGAAAATCCGACCAAAGGTCACAACCCCGAGATTTACCACCCACCCAAAGAAACGTCCTATCCCTAGAAATAATTCCACAAACTATTGAAAGGATGAAACTTCCAAACACCATTTATAACCGAATAAACCCGATCACCAAAAACAGAAAGGAGCAACAAAAAAAAACTAAACAACACCCTTATGAATAAATGCAAAAATGCTCACAAAACCTACCATTGAATCCAGGGCTTAAACAAGAAAATATCAATCACAACAAGGGCCTCATCCAGAGCAGGATGGGTCAACACGCAAAAATAAACACAAAAAAGAAGAACCAAAGACCATAACCTCTCCAATAATAACAACAATCACACATTTATGAAAGAACGTCACAAATTAGCATAGACAACAAATACCAAAAATGATAAAACCATAACAAAACCAACACCAAGACCATAAAGCAAACAATCCCAATCAAACACAATCATCAACATAGCGGGAGGGCGTCAAGACAAGAGATCAAACTCTCACTCGTCTAACAATATAGTACCCAACAACACAAAGGATTCACAAGAGACTGAATGATACAATAATAATAACCAGGACAAATCGATACAAGAATCAAAGCATCATGATACGCCAACAACAATAACAAATCAATCACCCTTCCAAAATAAGCAAGCAAAGAAATAAATAACCCGAAATAATTAACTAAGAGTCAACAGACCTCACTGAAAATATAAACACTGAAAAAAATAGCAAGAATAAACAATGAAATACATGCTCATGGGTCGCAGAATCAACATGTAAAAATTCTATACACCCAAAGTAACCTACAGAGTCAAGCAATCTACAATACCCACACCATTTTTACAGAACAGAAAAAATGATTTAAGCTTCGAGACCAGAAGGACCCCGTAGAGCAAAATCAATCCTAGCAAAAAAAATAGAGTATCATTACCATTCAAACATACTATAAGGCTACACCATTAAAACACTTTCCTGCACAAGACAGACCTTGACCAGTAACAGACAGAACCCAATATAAAACCACCCATACCGAACTAATCTTGACAAACAACAAAAACATACACGAAAAAATCCATCAAAATAATGGACTGATAGCCACATTAGAAGAACTGAAAAAAAAAAAAAAAAAAACCAAAAGAAAAACACACCTTTCACTCTCACAAAAATCAACTCACGCGGTAATAACTGTAACCTAAATGTGAAACATTATAATCAGAGAAATGTTGAATACCCTCTAGACATGACTACGCAAGAATATGAAAAACCCTACAGCAATCAAACAGAACAAAATAAACAAAGGACCCTGATCAAATAAAACTTGTCACACCAAAAAACTTCAAGAACAAACCAGACAACCACAGAATGGGAGAAAATTTTTGCAAGCTATACATCTGATAAAGGGCTGATAACCAGAATCTATTTAGAACTCAGGAAAGTCAGCAGGAAAAAAATCAAACAACCCTATCAAAAAATGGGCAAAGGACATGAACAGAAACTTCTCAAAAGAAGACAGAACAATGGCCAACAAACATATGGAAAAATGTTCAACATCTCTAATTATCAGGGAAATGCAAATCAAAGCCACAATGAGATATCACTTAACTCCAGTGAGAATGGCCTTTATCAAAAAGTCCCCAACAATAAATGCTGGCATGGATGTGGAGAGAGAGGAACATTGGGACTGCAAACTAGTTCAACCTCTGTGGAAAGCAATATGGAGATACCTCAAAGCGATACAAGTTTTTTGATCCAGCAATTCCACTACTGGGCATCTAACCAAAAGATCAAAAGTCACTTTATGAAAAAGACACCTGCAGTTGAATGTTTATAGCAGCACAATTGACAATTGCAAAGCTGTGGAAACAACCCAAGTGCACATCAATTTATGAGTGGATTAATAAAATGTGGTATATGTATACCATGGAGTACTACTCAGCTTTAAGAAACAATGGTGATATAGCACCTCTTGTATATTCCTGGATAGAGCTGGAACCCATTCTACTAAGTGAAGTATCTCAAGAATGGAAAAACCAGCACCACATGTACTCACCAGCAAATTGGTATTAACGGATCAACACCTAAGTGGACATATAGGAGTAACATTTATCGGGTGTCGGGAGGGTGGGAGGGGGGAGGAGGGGATGGGTATATACAACCACAACGAGTAAGATGTGCAGCGTTTGGGGGATGGCCACGCTTGAAGCTCTTGAGGGGGGAGGGAGGCATGGGCAATATATGTAACCTTAACACTTGTCCCCCATAATACACTAAAATAAAAACATAAAATAAAATAACACTTTGCTGTGTGTGGGATTTGTTTTATACATGCTCCCTTGCCTGGGCTTCTTCAGTGAGCGCCTCAGCGTCATCACTGCGCCTTTTCTGTCTTCGGAGGGTGAAGGTGTGACATTTGTCTCCCTGCAGGCCATCTGAACGTGCTCTCCAACAACCGCTGGCGGGAGCGCTGGTGCAGAGTGAAGGACAACAAGCTTGTTCTCCACAAGGACCGGACGGACCTGAAGACCCACATTGTTTCCATCCCTCTCCGAGGCTGTGAGGTGATCCCAGGCTTGGACTCCAAACACCCCCTGACGTTCCGGCTGCTTCGCAATGGCCAGGAGGTTGCAGTGTTGGAGGTACGGTGTTGTCCGCTGGCCATACTCCACAGAGGTGCACACGGTGATTTTCCTTCCAAAAGCCAAATTCTGACTCCTTTGTCTAAATTCCTTACAAATTCCTGATAGCACCTTTTTTTTTTTTTTGATTCATTCCCTTTTCTCTCACTGCCCAATTCTGTTGGTTTATGCTTTTCGTCTTCCGTCAGTTCCTCTTTCTGAGACACACTGACGCTGCAGGCAGCATAGTGCCAGCTTTTACCGAATGTGCGTGTCGGATTTGTCTGTCTCCTTGTGTCACTTCTCTTCATATGTGTTTGCACGGAAATGAAATACACAATCTCATGTAGTAGATTGCTCTTTTAAAGCACCCATAAAATAACTTGTTTTAAGATTTCCAATAAAACTCTTTCCCCCTAACTGTTGGATGCATTTGAAATGGTGGTGAATGGTTTTCTTTGGAACATTCTTGACTTCTTTACCATCGGAACAGGCATTTTTCAACAAGCGGATTTCCTCATTGACAGTGGCCAGTGAGCCAGGTTACACAGAGACCAAAAATGCACCTTTGGTTTTTAAGAACCTGTGGCTTTATATGCATTTTGTTATTTTTTTGGCTGCTTCTGTAGAACTTATTATTCACTAAAGCAGAAAATGACAATGAAAACTAATAGCTACATACTCAAAACTTTCATTTTTGAAAGTTTTTTAATTCTATTTTTCATCTCATATGAACTTATTTTCTACCCAATATTAATTCAGGCCTTTTTACTTTTGCCTTTATCCTCTAGTTGGCATTATTATGATTAAGATGCAAATGTATACACACATACCCATATATCCATGTATGTACGAATGTCGGGTTATGGGATTTCAGATACACGTGAGTGTGTCTATGTTATATCGTCAATAGAAATGAGGTGAGGTTGGATGTGGTGGAACGGGCTGATGTGTGACCTAAATTAATTGGATATAGAGCCAAATTCTACACGGCTGCACCACAGGCCGTGCCTGGTCAGCGGAGGGGAATGGGCCTGGGGCTGCCGCCAGGGTCGAGGCTATGCAGGGAGGCAGGCAGCCCCGAAGATCTTGAATTCACACATAGGAGTTTGTTTCAGGGCCTGTGTTCACAGAAACCACTTTTCTTTTTGCTTTGACAAATGTAGATGAACAATAACTTCTTCCTGCAGGGCCCAAGAACCTAGTAGTGTGGGGTAAGAGGAGGGCAGCGGACTGAGTGTGATCTTGCAGAGAGGGTCCCGTCTTAGCCCTGCTGGGACTTTGATCACAAGCAGATCTTTTGTTCCCTCTTGGCTGCTTTGCACTTCTGTAAAGCACAAGCATCAGGGTAGACTCAGTGTACCTGGTAACCATGTGTGTGGGCTGGAAACCATAGGGTGGATGTCAGTGGGAGAAAGCTGAAACTTAAATGAAGAAACTACACTTGTGGCGTAACAGCAGGATCTCCTGTGAGAGCTTCGGCAGCAGATCTGAGGGTTGCAAGGAAGGGAGGCCCGAGCTGGCACACACTAGACCTGGGGACGAAGAGGAAGAGGTTGGGAGGGATGCTCAGGCCGAGAAGCCCAGGGCAGGGGAGGTGGGCAGAGGTGAGGGAGTCACCTGTCCTGCCTTTGCCAGGGGCACAGCAGGTGTTTGCCTCACGCCCTCTCAGGGACATAGTAGTTTTCTGCACCTTCCAAAACACTGAGACTGCTGAGGAGGATGCTTATTTCTCGAGAATGCTGAGAAGTGAGTAGGCTCAAGTCTCCTGAATGGCAGCAGGAACTGGAAGTTTATCCTGTGTCACTCCATGTAGGACAGCTGCTCTTACAGTTGCAAAAGCATGATCTTAAAATGACACACACAAAATATCTACAACATTCCAATATAAGCAAGAAGTTCTGTCCTCATCAGTAGTGAAATGCAGTGAGCCAGCCAATGAAGTTGTAATGTGATCTGCACTTTTTCCAAGATCATTTTAACTTTGGTTTTGAGATAATATCAGAATCACAGAAAAGGTGTAAGAATAGTACAAAGAATGCTTGTATACTTTTCACCTATATTCACCAAATATTAATATTTTTCCATTTTTGGTATCTCTTGTGTACACACGCACTCTTTCTGTCTCTCTGTATACATGTATGTATATATAAAGTTTTTCAGAACCTTTTGCAAATACGTTGTCCTTTTATCCCCAAATAATTTGGTGTGTATTTGCTAAAAACAAGGGCATCCCCTCATTAGAACCACGGAATAATTGCCAAATGAGGAAATTAACATTCGTATAGCACTAGATCTTCATCATATGTTCACGGTTATTCCAGCAGTGCCCTTTATAAGCTGAAGGGAAGTCCAGATTATATATTACATTCCTCTGCCAAGTTCCTTCGCCGCCTCTGTCTGGTTTCGTGACATTGACGCTTAGGACGGTGCAGACCAGTTACTTTGCAGAGGGTTCCGGGTCTGGCATGTCTGCTTCTCCCCTGGGATCGGGTGAGCTTCCTTAGCAGGAGCCCTTGGAAGTGGTGGCATGATTTTCGGTGGGTCGTATTAGGAGGCGCACAGTGTCAGTTTGTGTCATTAGTGACGTTAATTTGGATCCCTTGAGTGAGAATTCCCCACTGTAAATTTACTACATTTTCCCTTTATCTTTAATAAGTATCATGTGGGGAGATACTTTGAGACTATGTAACTATCCTGTTGTTACTCACAATTTTGCCCAATAATTTTGGCATCCATTAATAACTCTTGCCTGAAACAACCATTGTAATAACAGTTGCTAAATGGCGACTTTCTAATTCTGTTATTCCTTCTGCATTTATTACTGGCAGCTATTGTGAGGACAGTTTTCTTCTCCTCCCATTTAATTAATTAATTAATTCATTTTCATATATGTATGTGTATCAGTGGAGATTCATAGATTATTGTATTAATCAATGATTATAATCCTTTATTATCATGATTTATTTTGATCAACTTATCACAGATTTGGCCAGTAGGAGGCCCTTTGAGCTGGCTCTTGTGTCCTTTGCTGTGTCCCTGTAATTAAGAGATTGTGGTCCCCATCATACTTGGATTACTTTCCTCACGTTGTGGCCCAGCGAGCTCCAGGCTCAACTTGCGCCTTTCCCTGCCCTAGACCTGGAGCGAGCACTGGCGTTTCTCCAGAGCACCCTGGCTCCTCCTAGTGGGGAGTATGGCATTTAGACACTGTGCTCTGGGTGCTTGGCGTATTCACTTCCATGGGGGCCACCGCTTCTGGATCTTTTCAGCACACAAACCCAAGAAACAGATATGTGTGTGTACATATGATACACATGCATGTATCATGCATGTTTATATGTTATACATATGACATATACTTCAAGTGTAAATACACATGTGCATACACATATATACATACAGATACGCACAAACATCTATCTCTATTCTTTATCTATATATTAAAAACCATGTGATCATAACTAACACCTCCATTTCCAGTCCGATACCACAGGATTGTTTTTAAAAACCCTATGAGGAAATTTCTCATACAATGAACTATGAAGAAAACAATTAGTAAACTCTAGTGTAGTAATATCATGACATCTTAGATATTAATTGTATTAAAATACTTTTTAAAATGCTTTGATGAAATTGTTATAGTTACATAGGTACAGAATTAATCATGGATTCACTCTTGATATAGATTTTGTTTGGGGAAGGACAAAAGACCTGTGAAGAGCACATATTTGTGATTTATTTTAATCCAAGTATTCAAATCAGTTTGCCTTAATTGGGCAAACATTGGTTACATCCTTACTCTGGGCAAGGCACAGAACTGGAATCCCTTCATTTCACCCTAATGGCCTCATTTGGTACTGGTTAGGAATGATTTGCATGTGGAAATTATCACTAGCCAATTTTATCAACATACAAAAAAATAGCTTCTTATTGGTAATGGCTCTTCCTCTAGAGAGGCTTTTATGTGTGACGTGGAATATTTTTTTTTTTTTTTTGAGACAGAGTCTCGCTTGTTGCCCAGGCTCCTGGCACACGAGAACAGGACATTGAGCCAGTGAACAGAACAGAACCCAGATATAAACATCCTCATATAGCCAACTAATCTTGACAAAGCAGACAAAAGAGAGACCTGAAAAGAATCCTTATTCAATAAATGGTACTCTGGAACTGCATAGCCACGATGTAGAAGGACTGAAACAAGACCCACCCCTGCACCTCCTCACAAAAATACTCACGCTGGGTATAGACCTGAACTTAGTGTGAAACTATTAGAATCTAGAGAAAATGTGGAGAATACCCTTCTAGACATTGCCCCTAGCAAGAAATTTATGAAGAAGACCCAAGGCATCAAAAAGTAAAAAATAAACAATGGACCTGATCAATAAAGTTGTGGCACAGCAAAGAAACTGTCAAGAGAGCAAACGACAACCCACAGAATGGGAGAAAATTGCAAGCTATACATCTGATACAAGGGCTGATAACGCAGAATCTATTTAGAACTCAGGAAGTCGCAGGAAAAACATCAAACAACCCTATCAAAAATGGGAAGGACATGAACCAGAAACTTTCCAAAAGAAGACAGAACAAGCCAACAAACATATGGAAAAATGTTCACATCTCTAATTATCAGGGAAAGCAAATCAGCCACAATCGAGGAATAGTACTTACTCCAGTGAGAATGGCCTTCTTATCAAAATCCACACAATAATGCCTGGCATGGATGGTGGAAGAGAGGAACATTGGAACTGCAACTAGTTCAACCTCTGTGGAAGCATATGATCCTCAAACGATACGAATTTTTGATCCAGCAATTCCACTATGCATCTAACAAAAGATCAAGTCAACTTTTGAAATGACACCTGCAGTTGATGTTTCATAGCACCATTACATTGCAAAGCTGTGGAAAACCCAAGTGCACATCCAAATTTATGTGACTTAACTAAAATGTGGTATATGTATACATGGGTACTACTCAGCTTTAAACAATGTGATATAGCAACCTCTTGTTATTCCTGTAG